AAAAAATATCTAAAAAGACAGTAAAATCTCACCAAAAGGTGATGGAGTCAAAATCGTGACTCGATCGATATGTACAAGCCAAGATGGTAGGAGAATTTGAGGGAGATGTAAGTAAGGAAAGTAAGATAATTTCGATACAGAAATATCTTTGTTTTTTGGTTTAGGACGGAGTGTTTCTTTCGAGGTTCTTAACTCTTGAACCCATTTAGGATGAGTTAAAGGTTTGGCAACCCCAAAGGGTGCTGTAGGGAAAGTAGGAAGGCGATCGGGACAATACATTTCAAAAGGAGTTTTTCCTAAGGGATTGACTATTTTATGGTTCGATCGATTAGTGTCTGTTTTATAGGATAAGGAGATAATAGCATCGTAAAAGGTCGATTCTAATTTCAGTGGGTTATAACATATTTGATAAAAATTCTCGAATCGAGATATTTGGAGACAGTGGAAGTGTATACCTTTCTTCGATTTCGATTTGTCCCGCAACACAAAAGAAGGATGAGCGGTCAATTTACGTCGGACCTCGTCAAAAGCAGCATGATTACTCGAGAACCAAATAGCCCACCATTGAGAAAAACCCACGAGTCGATAAATAATTTGATTCAAAAACATAAGGGTAAAAATGCATCGGAGTTTTTGGCAAAAACTTGACAAGTTCCCGTCCGATTGTCGATTCAGTTAATTTGGACCTTGGGGAAATATCTAAGGGGAAGAAGGGTAAGGACTGGCTCAGACCAAATTGCCTCGAGAAAAGTTGAGGATAGTAAGTAATGAATTTGAAATCTTTGGATTGGAAACCCGATACTAGTATATCATGAGTTAAATAGTTATTCCATACGTCTACCAACTCTAATTGCAACCCAGGAGTTGAAGCGAGGAATTTCGACTTAAACCAAATTGGCCCCCGAGTTGGTCACTTATTCGTCCCGGATGTACGGTAAAAGGAGCCAAAGTCGAATCGAAATTAACTTTCGTTAACAAAAAGTTGAGGTATCTACAATAAGCGAGCTTCATCGGACTTTTGGTGAGGATGGCGAGAAGACAATCGGGCCCCTTCTATATTCACACTTGGGGGACGGTAGAAGTTGGGGGAAGGATGCTCTCAAAAATCGAATTTAGCCACAACTCGTATAAACCAAATAGGGCCGGAGAAATTTCCGAAGCTTTAGGAGTACTCAAAATTTCGACGGCCTCGTCGAAAGCGATATATACATGTGCTAGCAAAAATTTGGCCAAACATATTCTAGGTTGGCCTAGGTGAAGGAGATATGCAAGGTCAAACGAGATGGGAAGAGATTTGGATCGATCGAGGGCAAAAACGTGGGTACACAACCAATACACCAAAAAGGAGATATGCTCTTCATCGATTACACTATCGATTCATCATCGACGAAATGTTTCTCAAGGAAATGTCCATAAGCTTTCGATTCCCAATCGATCTTAGATCTTAGAGAGTTATCCGAGGGACATGCACCTTTAAAATATCTTTCCCCTATAGGTTCTAATCCGAGTAATGGCCGCGACTTCAAAAAGGGTAGGCGAAAGAGGGCCGCAAGGTAATTCCAAGGCATGTATTTCCTTATTCCACAAATGAACAGCGACCAAGAACATAGCCATGTCCAAATAAGATAAGTCACATCGGGACGAGTGCAAAAAATCGAAAATTCCCACACTTCTCCAATGATCCCCGAATTTAGCTTTGACCCTATCAAACCATCTAATGTACAAAGGTTTTTTGGAAGGTGGGCTCGTCCGATACACCTTAGAGACAAGGTTCAAGAAATCAATCCTAACTTCAGAGTTGGTGTACCAGAGCCGAACTATTCGAGAGGTTGAGGGGAGAAAAGGTTCCATCAATAGGACGAAGAGGACCCCCAAAAGCGTAATTAACACCATCGGCGGTGTAAGGAATAAGTACTGCGTCTCGAGCAATTTTCCGAGAGGCTTCCTCCATTAGAGGGACTGGAGCGAACTTCGATTGTTGATCTCCAGCGGAGTTTGATGCCAAGGAAGGAAGGGGTGGAGCGGAAAAGTCGGAAGATTTGGAGGAAGTGGCCATTTCGATGAATCGGTAGGATGAAGAAAAGCAAGGTAAGAGATGAAGGCGCGGGGACGAAGATAAGAGCACAAGGAGGAAGACGAAGTTGCAAAGAGGTAAAAGTTCGCGTAAAAAACCGGAGTAAAAAACCAATAGAGAGTTTAAAGGGAAAATAGCCTAGGGAGCTGGAAACGACGGAGGTGAAAGATAATTAATGTAGCGTGTACAGGTAAGACAACGAGATCGACGCGATGGCGACATAAAGAAAAAGGAAAATTGAAAACCTCAGTAAACCCTAGAACCCCAAAAACCCTAAACCCTAAGTTTTGTGGGCCTCTAACAAGCAAAGGCGGGAATCACGTTGAAAGAATATAAACGAAACTATTTATATTCTTCCAAGGGGGCATTTTGTTAGTAGGAAATCGAGAAAAGCGATCGAAAAATGAAGGAAAGAAAAATCGAGAAACATGTGACTGATCGGTAAAGCGAAAAGGTGGATGAGAAACCATTCGATGTCCAATTAGAAGGGCATGACACATAAAATTGAAAGTTAGAGTCGGAATCGGAGAAATAATAGTCAAGAGTTTATTGTGGAACAAACCAAGAAATTAGAAGTATATGATGCTAAGGTTAAAAGAAATCAAAAGTAATCCAAAGACCTCGATAAAATCGAAATCTAAATCGAAATAAAGGTCAACCCGCATAAATATCAAAATCGTGGCCAGATCTTAAAGAGAAGGAGTTAAACATGCACATAAGAAACAATTTCTAAATCGTGGTAGAGGAAGAAGATCATGGGAACGTGGGTGCAGTTTTAACACCATAGAAGAAGAAACTGCAACACGCACGAAGAACGTGGTAGCAGTTTTGTTAACTGCTCCTAGAAGGCTTGAATGATACCCTATAAATAGAGCAGAGGAGGAAGGAATGGGGGGCAGAAATTGGCAGAGAACAGAATTAGTAGTGAAAAAGTCTACCGGAGAAATGACGAACACCATGAAGCTTCTGGCAATCTGGATTTCCTTGCTCACCGAGTACATTTACCGCTTTCGTATTTTCCTTGGTAATTTATTTTTATGCAACTTAAATTCAGCAGTTTTATATTTCTTGCAATTTCGATTCCTTGTCATTTCAATTCTATGAAAGTTTAAGTTTTTGTATTTAAGTTTCCCTGTCATTTAACATTCCGCAAATCTCGATTTCCTGTCATTTACTTCTCTTGCAATTTCGATTTCTTGTCATTTATATTTGCTACTGTTTTTTATTTCTTGTCATTTACAATTAATGCAAATTTGGGGTTTTCGTACTTTACATTTCCTCGCAATTTAATATTCTGTTTCTCGATTCGATACTTTTATCGCTTTCGATATTTTAAATATAAAATACTAAAAAATAGCATTTTGATATTCTGTAACTTTCGATTCTCATACGCGTTTTCGATTGAAAGTCAGACTGCTAGCCTAAGTAAAAAGAACTTACGTGGGAGGATTTTTGATTAGGACCATAACACTTTTTAGAATCGAAATCGATCGAAATTCCACACATATATATACATATATATATATATATATATATATATATAACTCTTTTTTATTAAAAAATTAAAATACGAGATATAAAAACAAAATTAAAAAGAGTTAAAAATGTTTAAAAAATACTAAAAGCATTGTTGTTTGAAAAATAATTCCTGAAAAACATCATATATAAAACGATTTATTTAATATAATAATAATTATTATTATATATATATATATATACGTATTTTATAACATAATTTTAAATTTTTTTCTTAAATTCGAAAGAAATCTATTAAATAATGCAACTTTTATATAATCATAACATAAAACTCACACTACAAGGAAATTATTAATTATCGACGGATAATTACCGATGGATATGTAGTCATCGAAAAATGAGTGATTATCGATGAATATTATGGATGGATTTAAAGTATTTATAAAATTTGGTCTTACTGATCGGATATATCCGTTAGTAAATGAACAATTAATTACCGACAGATATATACATCGCTAAATTAACAATTAGTTATCGATGAATATGTAGTCATCAAAAAATGAGTGATTACTAACGGACATCATCGACAAGTAAATTTTGGACTTACCGATGGATATATCCGTCAGGAAATGAACAATTAATTACAGACAAATATATCCGTCGCTAAATTAACAACTAGTTATCTATCAAAAAATTAATTATTAGTTACCGATGGACATTACCGACGGACATTATCAACGGACATTACAGGGGATTTAAAGTATATTTTTAAAAATCAATATTAAATTAAAAAAATTAAATATTTAAAATTATATAATGATTACTTAATTTTAAATATATTCTAATAAATTAATTATTCACCTAATTAAAAAATTAAATATTTTTTTATTTAATAATTTAATTTAAGTATAATTAAATTAATTTATAATAATTTGTTAAATTAAATAATTTTTAAAATAATTTTTAAAATAAATATTTAATTATTTTTAATATGGAAAAATATCTTTTGGAAACCTCAGGCACGACACCTTCACGCACTAACTCTCTCGGCCACACCTCCCAGTTCTAACCATCTCCTTTAATCCCTTCCTTCATCTTCTCCTTCCTCGCCATCAACTTCTCAAAAGAGTCACCATTACATACCCATTCATCTCTTCCCTATACTCTCACCCTCATTTGACCTTCATTAACCCAAACTCCTTTTCATCTACACTCCTCCTCACCATCATCATTTCCAACTTCCCTATCTGCGCTCATTTCCTTCTTCTAGAACCCTAACTGCTTATTTTCGCCCACCATGCCAAAATCAAGAGCCACTGTGAGCCTAGGCGAACTACCCTCTTCGAACCCTCGTCGTCGCGCCTCCTCCCTATAGCCCACCTCCATCTCACCCTAGCTCACCCCCATCCAAGTTGCCACCCTCATCTCCCACGACTAGGTCCTCCCCATCTCATTTCCAGGTTAACCCGCACCTCACCCACCGCACAACTCTAGATCCTTGCGGTGCAGCCATCTTCATCGCGGGTCGCCTCCCTTCACCGGAGCTGCGAACCCAATTCAAACTGTGGCATACCATCGAAACCCCTGCAGCCAAACCATCGTGCCAGCCACCACGAACCATTAGCAGTTTTCCTTCAGGCACTCTGCTATAACCAACAACTGTTGCGTGCCACCTAAGTTGCGCCAGCGCCGCAGCAGCCACCGCGATGCCCTTAGAGGCCACCGTAAACTGTAGGCTAGTGATTTGATGCAAGGTTGTGGACCAACAACTGAGGTGGTTCCTTGATTTTGGTTTGTTTTTCTCTGATTGGTTCAATTTTCTTTTGTGTTTTGGATGAACTGATTTTGCTGGGCCGAGACTAGATTCTATTTGTACATGTTTGTTTCTATTGGCTATTGTTGATTTATACGTTTGATGTAGGGCTCGATCAGTTTAGATCTTTAATTGTTGGGTCTACTTGGGATTATTTTGATTTAAGTTAGATATGGGTTTACGGGGTTGAAAACAATAGGGTCTACTATTTTGTTCACTCTAATGTTTTCATGTCATATGCTTGTTTCTGCAATTTCCCGTTGTTGTTATTTCCTGGGTTGTTTCTTTATCCTTATCTGGACTGTATATCAATTTTCACAGGGACTATTGGCCGAAAGTCCCTTTTGTTGTCTGCTTTCCTTTGTTTGGACTGTTGAGGACCATGGGTCTCGTATTTGATATGTTATATTTATCTTAGTATAATCAATACATAATTTTCCTTTCTCTATTTTTGTTTTAGTTCATGAGTTTGATGAATAATATTCTTTTAGTATATTTATCTCAATATAATCAATACAGAATATTCTTCATATGTTTATACTGCTTTCCTTTTAGTATAATCAATACTCTACTAGCATTAGTGCAGAGATCGATGAATAATATTCTTCCTGAGTTGTTGCCTTTCTTATTCGTAAGGAGAAGTAAGTAAATTTTTGTTTTGCAGTTAGAATCAATGTTCAATTTTGTGCGTCTTATCTAGCTTTTATTTCTTATTTCAACAGCTGACATGATCTCTGACATGGTGAAAACATGTGTTAAGTTTTACAAGAATCTTTGTTCTTGTTTCCTCAAATGGTTTAATATTTGCATATCTCTGAATGTATGTCAAGAGATGCTTGCAGAATACAGTAATGATGCCTTTGTGTAGTTTTCTGAATCTAAAAAACGTCATTTTGCATGCTTCAGAGCTCTGTATGGCTTCTGAATCTGGAAGAAATTAGGATATTATCGACATATATTTTTTACGGATATATTTGTCGGTAATTATCTATAACATTTTTCGATGGATATATTCGTTGGTTATTTTCTATGACACTTTCCGATGGATATATTCGCGGTAATTACCTACAACACTTTTCGATGAATATATTCATCGGTAATTACCTATAACACTTTCTGACCGATATATCTATATGTAATTACCGATTAACTATTCAAATTCGTCGATAATAATTACCGACAATAAAATTTTTGATAAATTTTTTTCATCGGTAAATCGTCGGTAATATATATTTACCAACAAAATTTTGTTGTTATCGACAAATTTTGTTTGTCGATAAATCCATTATCATATTACATATATTATTTTTAGGTTTTATATTATAATAATAATAATAATTATTATTATTATATCAATTCTTATGTTATAAATGACAAGTTACACAATCATAATAATTAAGTTTATATTATTAATAAAACTAATAATTATTATATAATTTTTATTAATATTATTTTCTTATTATTAATACTAAATAATAACAAAATAATATTAATAATGATTATTAATTATATTAATAATATAAAGCCACATGTCATTATTTATTTTATTATTAATTATAATAAAGATAATTATATTTTTAATTATGTAAATAATTTTTTATTTATTAAGTAATATTTTTATTTTATAATTTTAAAAAATTATTATATTTATATATTAAAATAATTTTTAAATTTAATTAATTAATATTTATAATTTAAATTATAATATAAGATATTTTTTTAATAATATAATATAAAAAATATAATATTTTTAATTATAATTATTTTTATTTTATTTATTTTTATTTTAATATATAATTTTTTAGAACAGATGAAATCACCCGCTCGTCATTCACTCGTGGAGTTAGCAAACTAAATAAAACAATACCAAAATAGATCCAGGGATCGAACCTAACAGGTCATGTTAGTACTTAGTACTACCTCTGGTAGTATTAATGCGATTCTGCATAATTTAATGCAGAGTTATGCACCTTGCAGACTCAGGACCCGGTACCCTTTAAGAGTAGGTGGAATTTTAAAGATACCTATCGAATTAGGTTTTAAGAGAATTATTCTCTCCAATTACAGAAAAAAAAAAAAGACCTAACATATTTAAAAATTGAAGAATTTAAAATCTACAAAATAGAAAAAAAATTATAAAAAATAACAAATTAACAATGTCAGACTCATAATTTCACATGATTTTTTTTTATTCCAAAGATATTATTATCATAACAACTACGTTAAATGTTGCATGTGCCATATTTTTTCATTCTAAGTTTATTTTAAATTTTTGGTGTTTTGTGCTCAAACATATTATTTTTTTAATTAATTTTATTTTGACCTTTTATCTGAACAACAACTTGCACTCCAAACGATTATATGGTAAGTTTCAATCTAAGCAATCTTCACAACTTTTTTTTTTTTTTTTTGTCATTCTTATGTTAACACTGCAAGTATTTTTTTTTTTAAACTACAGCATAAAGGGCTATATTATTTACAATTTTAAAACCAACAATGTTATAATTTCTCAAAATGTAATTTTTTTTATGAGAATGTTTTCCCTTTCAATAGAGAAAATAATAATAAAGTTTTCACCTAATATACTATGCCTACTAGTTTAATCATTATGATGACCATACTTATCATAATGTCACCACTCGTATTACTGATATTACTCGACCTCCGATATTACTAATAGTGCTTGGATTTGTAGTGATGTTTCTTCTGATTATACTTGAACTTCTGATAATACCTATATCAACACTAAGGGTGCTCAATTTGCTAACGAAGCCTTCGATGCAACTGATGATGCTCAACCTCTAGTTGATGTCTCTAGCACCATTGATAATGATCGGTTTGTTGGCCATGTTGATACCATTGAAAACGCTCGGTCTATTAACGATGCTTAGTTCCCCACCATTAATAGATCAAATAGAGTCAGAAGGTTACCAAGCTATCTTAAAGACTACCATGTCGCCAATATAAGTTCAAATACAGGTATTCACTCTCTTTATAAATCTCTTTACGGGCTCAAACATACCAGTTGCTAATGATATACAAAACTCATAACCTTTATCATATCCAATAGCTACATACATCATATGTTAATCACTCACTCTTTCAAAAAGACTGCAAACCCTAGCATAATGACTCTTATTGTTTATGTGGATGACATTGTCTTGACTGGGAATTATGTTGATGAAATATCTCATATCACTCAGAAAATAGATGAGACCTTTAAAGTTAAAGACTTGGGAGATCTCACCTACTTCCTTGGTTTTGAAGTTGCCTGAAACTGTTCTGGTTTGTATCTCTCACAATATAAGTACACTCTTGACCTCTTTGCTAATAGTGGGATGCTTGCGTTCACCCCGACTCCACTCCTAAAGATTCTTATAAGTAACAGTGACATTCTTCCCAATTTGACCACTTACCAACCCCTTATCAGTCGCCCCATCTACTTGACCAATATCAAATCAGATATCACTCATGTTCATCACCTAAATCAATTTTTCAACGGTCTCATTATGGCCTACCATCAAGTTGCCTAAAGTATTCTTCGCTACCTCAAACTCGCACTTGTGGTGTATTTTTTTTAATTATTATTTAACAAGAGTAGCGAGATAAAATAAAAATATTTTATATATGTAAATGTAATTTACATTACTAATTTTTTTACAGGATATATATAAAAGAAGAAGGAATTTTTTTCCTTCTATTTTTACTACAATTATACAAATATTTACATTGCCGCTGGAAACCAACAAATTAAGGGATTTTGGTAAATGGTAGGAGACATGCAAAAGGTAACCACTATTGGTCCATCTAGCATGATGAGAGTTCCCATATCATATGCGAATGTTAATATTGATAATCTTGTCCCTTTAAAAGTAACTCGAGTTGTCAATAACATTTGTATTTTAAGTGGTTCTTAGAAAGAAGACAGTGATGCTTGTAGAAAAGGGATTTGGGATATTTGGCGCGTCCATCTACTTAAGTTGATATTTAAACATAACATGTACAAAAGATCACAATAAAGAGTGAAAACAATTATCATTTAAAATAATAGAATCTTATAATATATATATATATATATATATATATATATATATATATATATTATATATTTTAACTTTTTCAACACATTCTATTTTATGAAGATTTAAATTAAATTTGTAGTGACTAGTCGGGATAAATGAACTCAATTTTAACCATGTTCTTAGTGATAATTACTCATTTCAATCCTCAAGGTTTAACATTCATCTACAATATCATCAAATTTTCATAAATAGATATTATTATAAAAAAATAAAAAAATAATATAAATATAAATTAATAAATAGGACTAGTGCATAACTGGAGATAAATAAGACCAGTGCAGGACTGGAGACAAACATAAAGTAGGACCAATACGTGACTGAAGATAATTAAAATAAAACCAGTGCAAGACTAGAGAAGAATAAATAAACATAAGGAAGGACCAGTACTTAACTGGAGATAATTAAAATAAAATCAGTACAAGCACTACTACAAAATATGTTTTCTACATCGTCATTTAACGTCGGTTATAGCTGAGGCGACGTAGAAAGTACTTTCCACGTCGAATCCCAGATGAACCGACGTTGAAAGTCTTTTTGTTTTTATTTTTTTTTTCACCCAAAAATTCACTTTAATAAAAAAATTATTACTATCAGGATTCGAACCCAATATATTAGAATTAAAATTTGATATTTCAACCACTAAACTACTATAATTTTCTAATAATAACTTACAAATAAATTATATTTATATACAAATAAATATATATCCATGTGAATATATATTTATTTGTGTATATTTTCTGGAAAGTGTTTTTATTTTTTTTCGACCAAAAATTCACTTAAGTTAAAGAATTGTCATCGACATCATTTGAACCCGAGTATTTTAGAGTTGAAAGCTAATATCTCACCACTAAACTACTATAAGTTTTTGATAATAATTTACAAATAAATTATATTTATATACAAATAAATATATATATGTGTAAATATATAAATATAAAATATATAAATACAAATATATTTATATATTTTGATATATTTATATAGTTATATATTTATATGTTGCATGTGAGGGCGCGCTCGAGGGTGAAAGTGAGATTGACTCTCGCTTGAGCGAAAATTGGTATTTTTCGTTTGAGAGCGAATGACGCGTTTCCCAAATTTATTTTATATTATTATATAAATAAATTATAAAGATTATATTCTGTCATTAAATTACAAACTCATATAAAGAGACTCGCTCACAAATTTAGTATCAAATTTTGAAAACCCACTCGACACACACTTTCACCTTCAAGTATGCCCTCACATCCAACATATAAATATATAATTATATAAATATATAAATATATTTGTATTTATATATTTATATATTTACATGGATATATATTTATTTGTATATAAATATAATTTATTTGTAAGTTATTATCGAGAAAATTCTAGTAGTTTAAAGGTTGGAGTATCAATCTCCAACTCTAAGGTACTGAGTTCAAATCCTGCTAATGACAATTCTCTTAAAAAATTAATAAACTTCTAGATAAATAAAGGGGTTGTAAATAAATAAAAATTATTAATTTGAAAAATCGGACTTTTAATGTCGGTTGTGGAAACCGACCTTGAAAACCTTCCACAACCGACGTGGAAAGCCTTATCTCGTAGTTAGAGATAAATAAACAAGTAACAGAATAAATAGAATGAGGTTAGGGACATCTCACTCCA